CATTCCTGAAAACTTATGTTTAATCCTATGTTAATATAATTAATTATGTTACAACAATTATAAATGTCTAATTATAGTATAATCATATTAAAAGTTTGATATTCATAACTTAATATCAAAATAATTTAATATTTATAGTATTGACCAGTTACATAAATATTAAATATTGGTTATGTATGTATAAATTATTAGCTGTTTAAGTGGCAAAAAGGAAAAGTATAGGAAGCCATAAGAGTAGAATATAGATAGAATGCTGGACCTAGCTGTAAGGCTTTTCTGAGGAAGTGACTTGTGTGGAGACATGACATGATAGATAAGTGAAGACAGTACAGGTAGGAAAACATTCTAAGATTCAGGACCAGCATGTTCAAAGGCCATGTGGTGGATGCCTGGAACTAAAAGAGACTGCCATGATTGGAGTTCAGAGATGAAAAGGGAGCTTGGCAAGATTTGAGAGTAGAAAGATGAGCACTGTTCAAATCATTTATGGTCTCATAAGTCAAAGGCCTTGATCTTCATCCTAGGAGCTGGGAAGTCTGTGGGAGAAAGTAATACAGCTTTTGAATTTTAGGATCATTTTGCTAATAGTGTGAAGAGTTAATGAGAAGGTACCAAGAATTGAGGCAGGGAGGCTGTTTGCTTTTAAGTGATGCTTTTCATCTTTTCATTTTTTTCAATTCATTGTGACCTTTTGATTATAAAAAGTTTTTATCCTTAAAGTACCTTCTCAAAGTACAAATAGGCAAACCAGGCAGTCCAATAGAATTTTGATTTCTTTACATTTGTAACACTTTAGACATTTAATTAATAATGTTAACCTAAATGACATTTTTATTACATAACCTTTTCCCTGTGGTATTAGTTGCAGTAGTCAAATAATACAGTTGGCTTACATTTAAAGAATTAGCTGAGGGAATCTTATTGCTTACACTGGAAATGCCAAAGGTTAAACATCTTCCAAAATATTATGTAATATCAATTTTTTGCATGTAACTTGTTATACTTAACTAAAAACATTAAAGATCACATAATGATAGATTAAGGCATCAAATTTGTAATTTTAAAATTAAGTGATATTCTTCTGTACAGCAACTGAGAATATTCCCAACACTTAAAGAAAAAAATTAAAATAACAATACCTTGGCTCCCTCTGCTGCTTGAACAAATTATTTCATTTACAAACATAATTTTGTCAACATTTTTCTGACATCATTATGTGGAATTGCTATTCGTTTCTCCTCTTTTTCCTTCCTCCTTCCTCTCTGTGAGAAATTTGAGACATAAAGAAAATCTATCTAGTAATTTTTTTTAATCCTAGTAAAATAGTTCTAATTTTCAGTCAAATTTTTCCCAAGGAAATAATTTGTTATGCTCATACTTTAAAGGCTTTAAATTCCTCAAATTGGGTTGCCCCCAGTTTCATCAATCATCTTAAAATACATTCATCAAACTTGTTTTATAATTTATATATTCATGTGATTTTAAAAAATTAGCTGACTTTGAACTTAGAAGCAAAATTGGTACATCCTTTTTACTTGTAGAATTATATTGGAAACAAATATTACAAATAAAAAATATTTTTTCTAAGACTATGGGAAATACGGGTATTTGGCAGTTTCATTTATAATTGAGGTGTCTGTGTTTACCCTGGTCCATATGTAAAGTTTTCAGAAAATGAAACAATACAATAAATTCAACCAAACTTTTATGCTTTCCTACCTGTACCAATTGCTATAACTGATTTTCCTCCTTTTTTTTTTTTTTGCTTGTAAGGGATAAAACTATACTTTAAATTTTAGCTACTTAGAGAAAAAATATATGCTATTTTATATTTTCTCTAATGAAGGAGGTTGAGTTGAGGGGTACAAAAGCAGAATCAGCTGTGGAATTTTTTTCTAAACCTATCTCTTCCTACATAAAATTATTTCTTAATTTAAAAGTAAGATAGGCGTCAGTTTTCGTTTTATAAACTTAGAGAAAAATGGCAGTATCATGCCTTAAAACATACACAGGCTAGAGATGTAAGAAAGTTTATTTCCCTAAGAACTGTAGTATTTTATATGGCATAAGAGGCAGTGTGGAAGCTTGGGACCTCTTGTTTCAGTGTTCCTATCTGTCAGGCAGTAAAAACTCAAGACAGTGCCTGTGCATAGTAAGCACAATATAAATATTTGTTGTTTAGTGAAAATAAGAAGAATAAGTACATTATAGAACTTTCTTCTACCTGCAACTGTGACTCCAGTGTTTATTCTCGTACGACTATTCATGAAGCATTTCTGTAATTTATGGTGGATAGTGGTTTTAATGTTATGATCAATGCTGTGTGATTAAATATCTTGATCAATTTGTATGATTAAATGAAATAATGAAATGTACATAGTAAAACACAGAACATAGTGAAATATTAATACATTAATACAGATAAAATATATATGTATACCTTTATGCAACACAATCCCTGGCACATTAATAAGTATGTCTCTACTTTCTCTGTGTGGTCAACACTGTATTTAGTAATCACTCAATAAATATTGATAGGTTGAGTGCCATTAACTTATTTTGACATTGATAATCTATTTTTCTTTCTACCAGTGTAGAAATTTCCTCCCTCCCTCTGTCACTCCCTCACTTCTATCCTTCCTCTATATGTAGACATAATCTTGAAATGTCAGAAAAAAATTCTGGATCTGAAAATGAAAAGATTACCTCATTTGTCAATTCCAGTTTGTATTCTCTACATGATCTTTTAAAAGTATTTATTAGAGTTATACTAATCTTCATAATTGTCAGCTCCTAATGAAAGGAGCTAGTGTTTCTGAGTATAGATGTTTCACAAAATCAATTCTATTTTTTCAAAAACTGTATCCATACCTTTATTTTGTTTCTGGGGCAAAATTGTTAGATAAAGCTATACTGTTCAGATTTATTGAGTCACTTCCAATATGTTTCCCAGGGTTCTTTAAAAAATTTATATATGAGTGGGAGAGAAAAGCTAGTCATGACTGAACTGTTAATTGTAAATTAATTGCTATTAGAACTTAGAAAAGGCAGGTGACAGAAGCACACAAAATCAAACACTAACAAAGATGTCTCTGGGTTTTTAGTGTATATGAAAATCATAAATAGGAATTTATTTATAGTCACTCTTAGGTGTGGCCCAGGAGTATAAATTTTTAGTAAGTACCTCAACTTAGGTCTATGCTGGTGATCTAGGGATGACATTTTGTGAAATACTCTTCTAAGGGGACTCTTCACAGAGTTCATGATCTTGATGCAAGTTCTTTTCTTCAATGCTAGTCAAAAGAGAACCTTGAACTTACCAAGGTTTTTCGCTCTCCCAGACTCTGTAGAAATTGACATCCACAGATTTCTTAGAATAATTAAAGTTTGGAACCCTAGGATTATCAATGACTGAACATGCTAGAATTTCTCTTTTGAGGGGGAAAATCTGATAACATCTATTCATATTCATATTATGTTGTGAGTTTATGAAAAAGGATTCTAGGGTGTTTGTTTTCATGCAGTTTACTTGTCGCTGAACAGTGGAGACAGAATGTGACTTAAAGTTTCTCTTCTCTTGCTAAAATTGAAGATTTACTTCTCAGAAGACCTAGTATGTCATATGCTTATCCATATACAGACTTGCACTGAAGTATACCCCTTCCCGCCCAATTTATTAGATGAATTGGTAAACTTATTTAGAGGGCCAATCTCAAATGAAGTTTTAAAGATACCTTTCTCCTGGTGTAGGGGATGTCACTGTTTCAGGACTAACAGTTTCATTTTGCCCACTGCGTAGTAACAGACCAATACACTGAGTGGGATTTGCAGCAGAGAAAGAATGTTATGATTGCAAGGTGTCCGGTTAGAAGATGGGAAGAGACCCTCAAATCCATTATCTCCCCAAGGAGTTCTGGGCTGGGTTTTTTTAAAAGAGACCATAGAGAGTGAGGAACTAGAAAATTGGGGTGGCTAATTGGTCGGGGAATGAGGGATGAAATCATCAGGATGTGAAAACTACATTCTTTGGTGAGTCAGCTTCTGGTGACATCCTTCATTCAGAGAAACTGACATCAATGGGGTTTTTCAGACCAGCTGGTGTTAGTAGTTTCATTGGTATGCAGGACCTAGAGGAATATCTCAAAGGGAAAACTTAAGAGATTCACAATGTTAAAGTTGTTACCTATAGAGCAGTTAAGGGGAACTAGGGCCTATGGGATTGGGGGCAATAGGCACCAAACAGCTATAAGGAAGCAGGTCAGAGAGCAAGCGGACCTGAGGATTAATGCTGAATGTGCTGCAAGCTTGGTTTATTTTTGTTTGTCCCCCTCTTCCTCCAGGGTTACTTTATAAAGTTTATAAGGACAGTTTTAGCATCTGTCGTGTAAGAGTGTTATGCCATACTTGATGGGAGGTTAGAAAACCCTTTCTAGGTTATTGACCTGCTTCAGGGGAAAAGGGCAGGGGGAAGGTCAGTGAGATCTTCCTGCTTCTGCTGTTTTTCAGTATGCCAAGGAGGGCTATTTTAGGGTAGTATGTCCTGAATCCCATCATTCTGCTCCCCCATCTTTCTGCATATTCATCCAGCATCTTGATAGAGAATATAGCAACTTTATTCTGTTATTAGTAGAATTCAGATAGAATCAGAGATTTGGGACTGGAGAAAGTTGACATGAAAGGCACTATTTTGTCTCACGTGTAGAAAAAGGCACATGATTTGTTCATTCAGTAACTAAATGCTAAATTGTAAATTTCATTTGATGACCTCAATGAGATGGAAGGGCTTTTTCTTAAATCACAGGTAGTTATTTCCTGAAGAAATTTTTTTAAAATCTTTTTTGTGGGTTTGTTTTTTATTATGGGAATTAGGAAAGGAGGGCAGTGTATATTTGCTTTCTAGCTAAAATTGAATTTGTATTTTTGAGTTTTACTTAATTATGAAACCTGTGAAATAAATTCTGAACTGGTAATTAGTAATATCATTTATTATTATTTAACAGGATAAACATGATTCAGTTGATGATCAAAATATTTGTCATGTGTGGCACATGAATACAGAAGCCCTTCCAGAATGGATAAACTACCTAATCCAAAAAGTAAGTTCTTAGTTTCTGAGTAAAAGTAAGAATATATAACCTTCAGAATGTTTTTTTCCTCTTTTTAGAGCTGTTTTTCTTAGATACATTGCTTGGCCAACCTCTTACTGCCCCTCACTCCCATTACCCCTCTTCACACTTCTTTTCTCCCTTCTCTGCCTTATATATATATCTGTATTTTACATACACATGCATGCACACACACACACACGTAATATATATTACTTTTACATATACAAAAGCATATACACATATGTATGACATAATATATATTATTGTACATACACCTATACATATTTACCTACATACACATATACTTATTTAACTTGTTAATTGCCTAGCTCCTAGCTTAGAATATAAGCACTGGGAAGTCAGGGACTTTTTTATATTGTTCATTTGTATATCCTCAGCACCAAGAATAGGTCCTGTTGAATAAATGGAATATTCTGTATGTGTTATTCATATCTATACATATACACATAAGTGTACAAACATATAAAATAAATAGGGTAATTAATGACTCTCATCGGTATAATCAAAATGAAAATTCTACACTTTAAAGAATTTTTAATGAAATATTGTAAGAACTTATGTTGTATGTATAGTTATTTTTCACAATTCAAAACACCTGTCTTAGAAAATTATAAGTAATAGGACTTTAGAAATATATAATTCTGTTTCTCCACTGAGTAGCTTAATTTTTTCTTAAAAAATAACATTTGATAGGTATCTCTTACATTCATTCTCACACTGTAACAGTTTTCTAGGAGAATGCCAGTACAGTACACTGTTTATAACTTAACAAAATATATTAGGACACTGCAGATATTTCACTATCTCAGTTGAAAAGATAATTTTAAGATAGTTCATTATTAATTTCCAATCTAAGCATAGAAAATGCACTGTCTAATGTATGCAATCAATATCTTTTGGTGGTATGTAAAAAGCCAGGAAGAGCTTTATGCTGTTGGTTGGGTAAAGTTCCCTCCCACAGTGCTTGGTATGCAAGAAGTGTATCAAAACAGACACTTTCCTGTGAGATTTTACTTGCAAATTAAGCTCTGTCCACTGATTTGCTTCCTGGTTCCATAGCATATTTTTCTTTAGTTCACACTGTATCTCTATTCAACCTATTGTTTATGAGACTCTTTTAGAATTCTTAGGAATATTGTTTGGATTGGTATGATTTGCAATACATTATCATTTTAGAACTTTGGTGCTACTTATCTTTAGTTATTGGAAGGCTTGTTTCTATTTGCTGTTCAGTCTGCTAATCAGAAAACCTAAAGCTAGCCTTTTCTGTGGCAGACAGAAAACTTTCATGTGGCCGTCTTAAAAAAAAAAAAATTATCTTTGGTTACTTTATAATGAAAGTATTGTCTTTATTTTTCTTTATTACCTGTAGGCCCAGTGGACAGTTGGAAAACTGAATTGCCCTTTCTGTGGGGCCCGTTTAGGGGGCTTTAATTTTGTCAGCACTCCAAAATGTTCCTGCGGCCAGCTTGCAGCTGTACATCTCTCCAAGAGCCGGACCGATTATCAGCCAGCACAGGCAGGCGGACTAATGAGACCATCACTGAAATACTTGTCACATCCTAGAGTTCAGTCAGGTTGTGACAAGGAGGCTCTGCTGACAGGTGGTAGCTCTAAAAACAGAAATCACAGGCTTTTAAACATGGCCCAAAATAATGATGACCCTGGAAGATTAACAGAAGCACTCTGCCTAGAGGTGCGATCAACATGTTTTGAGATGAAGAATGAAAAACTGCTCTCCAAAGCATCAGAACCAAAATACCAGCTTTTTGTTCCCCAGCTTGTGACTAGCAGATGCACTACAAGAGCTTTTCATAGAAAATCACATAGTTTGGATCTGAACATCAATGAGAAACTGACTTTATTACCCACTTTTTATGGAATACATAGTAAGACTACTGCCTATTCCAGACTAAATGAAACACAGCCTATTGACCTTTCAGGCTTGCCTTTACAATCTAGTAAAAATAGCTGTTCCTTTCAGAATCCATCCAGTTTTGATCCTAATATGCTGCTGCAAAGATTTTCAGTGGCTCCCCATGAGACCCAGACACAAAGAGGAGGAGAATTTCAGTGTGGTCTAGAAGCTTCTTCAGTGTACTCTGACCATGCTAATACTAACAACCTGACTTTCCTGATGGACCTGCCCTCAGCTGGCAGGAGCATGCTGGAGGCCTCAGACCAAGAAGAACACCTCTCCCCTCTGAACTTCCTGAACCCAGCGAGTTTTTCACTGGACAGCATTAATCAGAGACTCAGTAAAAGAGAAAAGAGCAAGTTGAAGAATCTAAGAAGGAAACAACGAAGGCGAGAAAGATGGCTTCAGAAGCAGGTATTTTGAATATTTTTCAAAAGAGTTTACTAAAAAATCTGTATTATAAATACTGGAGTTTGGGTAGTGGAGCTAACTTTCAACACCTCTATTACAAAACCTTGGTTTTAATAATTCTTGAAATGCTATTTCTCTGTAAATGTACCCAATAATTCTGCAGCCGTATTATAATTGGCATGTATAACCCTGTCTATGCTTCATGCATATTTAGAAAAAAAGCTTTTTTGGGGGTGGGGGGTTGGGGAGAGATAGCAAGGGGAGAGATGCCAGATGTAGGTGATGGGGAGGAAGGCAGCAAATCACACTGCCATGTGTGTATCTATGCAACAATCTTGCATGTTCTTCACATGTACCCCAAAACCTAAAATGCAATAAAATAAATGGGAAAAAAAATAGAAGCAAAAAAAAAAAAGAAAAAAAGTTCTTTTGTGCAATTTTTCCCAATTATGCTAGTATTTTAGAGGGATATTAATCTCTAAGTAATACTGGATTGTGTTTTACTATATTTTAAATGTATTACATGTTAGGATTGTTTTGCAGTGGTTTTATTTTTGGTTGAAAAAATGTTTTTTTTAATTTTGGGTTGAAAAAATGTTTGTCTAAATTCAATCAGGTAACAAAGTCATCACTTTTCATCATGTTTATAATAGCTCAAATGGATATTTCAAGGAGTCTTAATCATGGGTTCACATGATCTCAATATGATTAACTATACTAAATTGTGAAAATTATCTAAAGGGTAATTTACCCTTATTGTACTCTATGATTTGATCTACTTTAATACCCGTAGTAATATGCTCCAGAGTAGGATGTATGAAGGAACTGAAGAGTAAATGTTAGGTGCTTTGGAAAGCAGTTAAAGCCAATGGTTGAGATGCTCATGAAAATTTAAAAGTTTGAACCAATATGTTTCTGAATAAACTTTTTTTTTATAAATTGCCTTTATTATTTGCTTATCATAATAGTGTCATTAATCAGTGTGTTGTATGTTAATAGAATTAAAATATAGAAAGCTGCAACTTGACATATTAGTTTTTTTTCTTAAGTAGTTAAGTAAACTCATGGCTTATGATTCTAGTTTTGATTCAAAAAAATAAAATTACTGCATTGAATGCTTCAGATTAAGTGTTTTTTAATCTTTCAGTTATATAGTATAATTATTTTTATAGATAATTTTTTTATTTTTTTGATTGGTTGCTAAAATGCACTTTGGTTTTTTTGCAAGTGATAGTGTAATGTGACATCAAAGTATATATTAACAGAATGTAAAAAATGAATGTGCTTTAGCATCATTATAATACACTTCATAGTTTAACTTAAATGAAGCTGTAAAATTCAAAATTTTCATTGAGAAATTATACCTAGGTAAATTGGAGATGATCAGATGTTAAGTGAATATTCAGAAAGAATATTTTCAAAATGATTAATGTAATATGGAGGGCTCTAAAATATTCTCTAGCAAATAGAAATGTAAAATAAGTATGAAAATTATACTTTGTACTGTAAATACATGCAAATAACATCATTAAAATTTAAAAATGTGTTTAATTCTTAGGCTAGGTAGTTTTGAAAACCTCAGCTACATTACTGATCACTTTCCATCATAGGAAAACTCTTTTAAACAGTTTAGAACAAAGCAAGTGCAAAGTTAACATGGCTTTGTTTTTTTTTTGTATAGATGAAGTTGTTTTTATTCATTCACATATATATGATATAGCTTAGCTAACTGATCAGAATTAATGAGCCTTAGGTCAGTGTAGGAAGTGACATGGCAGGATCCTTCTAGGTTTGATTGGTAGCACAGAAACTACAGCAAACAAATACCCAGTGTTTATTTAGCACAGAAAATTTTAAAGTCTACAGCAGCACAGAAATTTTGTGTTAGTGATGAAAGTATACATCATAGTTAGAACCAGAATAATTATAGTTTTTAAGTCTATTTTGCTAATTCAAACAAAAAGATAAATCCTAGAAAGAGTTAATATCTGAGATAAATTAATGGCATAGCTATGCAGCTCATTCCATATTTAATAAAGATTAATTAATTCAGTAAACACTTATGAAATGCCTGTTTGGGATACTGTGCCTTTGAGTAATGACTTCAGTACAGATCAGCCTTGCCCTTTTTAAAATGAGGATAAACATACAATAAGTAAAGTAAAAGTTACTATTAATAATCATAGTTTTGTTAAAGTTTAAAATAATTGGTTAATATATCTGGATTTCTAATTTTCACTTTAGGTTTTTAATAAATGTTTGTAAACTAGACAGCTTTCAGTAATCTATACCTTGATAGAAAGTATCAATGACAGTACAAAAAGTTATTTAAATATTTGAATCTTAGGGATGTAAATAAGATTGATGTTGAAGCAGACATTACAGCCAATTTTCAGAGTTTTGTTTGGCAAAAGTTAATTGAGCATCTGCTTTGGGGAAAAACATAACACAGCCACATTTAACCAGCAAACCTCTTTTTTATCTAACATAGTCCTTTTGTTTTTCATTTTTATTTTTTAAATTTTCATGCAATAAAATTCTCAGCATAACAGCTCTGTGACTTAAACACATGTAAAGATTTATATAATGACCACTACAATGGGGATGTAGTATATTTCCCCAAAACTCCCTTGTGCTATATACCTTTATAATCATATGCTTATCCCATCCCTATTTCCTGAAACTACTAATGTGTTCTCCATTATTTTAGTCTTTTTGATAATGTTGTAAAATATTAATATAATATTAAAATATAGAATCCTATAGTATACACCCTTGAGGCTGGCCCCTTTTACTCAGCAAAATTGCCTATGAGATTCATGCAAGTTGTTGCATATATTTATAGTTCTTTTTTATTGCTCAGTAGTATTCCATTGTATGAATGGACCAGTTTATCCATTCAGCTGCTGAAGGACAAATGGGTTGCTCTAGGTTATGGCAATTATGAATAAAACTTTTACAGACATTCATGTGCATATTTCTGTGTGAACCTAATTTTTTATTTCTCTAGGGTAAATACTCTGGAGTGGGATTGCTGGATCATATGGTAAGTACATATTTATTTATATGAGAAATTGTCAAATTGTTTTCCAGAATGGCTGTGCCATTTTGCATTCCAAGCAGCAGAGAGTTCCATTTGCTGTGCATCCTTGAAAGCAAGCACTGGTATTCTTAATATTTTAAGATTTTAGTCATTCAAATATATAGACAGTTGTATCATATTATGATTTTAATTTGCTTTTCCTTAAGGATGCTAAACATATGTACTCATTTTTTGTTTGTGTATATTCTTTAGTTAAGTGTCTTCAAATCTTTTGGGCCAGGTGTGGCAGCTCATGTCTATAATCCCAGCACTTTTTGAGAGGCAAAGGTGGGAGGATTGCTTGATTCAGGGGTTGAAGACCAGCCTGGGCAACATAGCAAGACCTTACCTCTACAAAGAAATAATAATTTTTTAAAAATTAGCTACCTCGGCGTGGTAGCGTGTGCCGATAGTCCTAGCTAGTTGGGAGGTTGAGGTGAGAGGATTGCTTGAGCCTACAAGATTAAGGCTACAGTGAGCTATGATCACACCAGTGCACTCCAGCCACTCCAACCTGTCTCAAAAAATACAAAAACAAACCTTTTGCTCACTTTTTAATTGGGTTATTTTCTTCCTGTTGAGAGTTCTTTATATATTTTGGATACAAGTCTTTCATTGGATATGTGATTTGTAAATGTTTTCTCTCAGTCTGTAGCTTTTCTTTTTAGTCTCTTAATTTTTTTTCCTGTAGAGCCAACCTGTTTAATTTTTATGATGTCCAGTTTCTCAAAAGTTTTAATAGATCATGCTTTTGTTGTTATATCTAAGAGCTCTGCCTCATTCTAGGTTATGAAGATTTTCTCCTATGGTTTTTTGCAAAAAGATTTATAATTTTAAGTTTTACCTTGAGAATTAGGATCCATTTTAAATTTTTAATAAGTTGCGAAGTTTAAGTTAAGGGGTATATTATTTTAAGTAGAGATGCTCAATTGTTTCAGCACCAGTTGTTGAAAACAGTGTCTTTCCTTCAATTGAAATGCGTTTGTAGGCTTGTCAAAAATCAGTTGTCTGAAAATGAATGGGTGTATTTCTGGACTCTGTTCTGTACAGTTCATCTTTAGTCTTTTGCTTTTGTTAGTACCCACTTTTTTTTCTGTGACTTTGTTATTCTTTTTCAAAATTGGTTTAGCTATTTTAATTTTTTGACTTTCCATATAAAACAAAGTCAATCTGTTTATATTTCTAAAACATCATGTTGAGATTTTGATTGGAATTATATTGAAGCTATAGATAAACTTGGGGAAAATTGAAATCTTTACTATGTTGACTCTCATAGTAACGTGAACATGGTATGTCTTTCTCTTTATTTAAGTCTTTAATTTCTTCCATCAGCATTTTGCAGTTTAGAACCTGTGCATGTTTAGTTAGATTTATACCTAAGTATTTTTTCTTTTGAGAGGAGTTATTGTTATTTTAAAAATCTGTGACTTACATTTGTACATTGCTAATGTTTAAAAACTGTTTTTGTTTTGACTTAGTATCTTATGTTATTGAGTATATGTTCTTGACATCTCTTGTCAGATTTATTCCTAAATAGTCTTTTTAACGCTGTTGCTAAATGCTAATGTTTTATTAAATTTTAGTTTACAATTCTTCATTATAGAATAATGCTGAATGGAAGTGTTGAGAGCAGAAATCCTTTTCTTTTTCCTGATATTAGCAGGAAACCATTTATTAACTGGTAAATATAATGTTAGTTGTATGGTTTTTGTAGATACTCTTTTTCAGGTTGAGGAAATTTTCTTGTTTCTGGTGTGCTGATAGTATTCTCATGTATGGATGTTGAATTTTGTAGAATGCTTTTTCTGTATGAGTTGATATGATCATGTGTTTTCAGTGTCAATAATAATTCACTATCAAATACGGAGACAGTCTTGCATTCCCATCATAAACTCCACTTTGTTATGCTATATTATTCTTTCTGTGTGTTACTAGATGCTATTTGCTAATCATTTCTGAGGAATATTTATGCCTCTTTTGATGAAGAATATTAGTTTGAAATTGTCTCTAATTTTGTAATGTCTTTGTCTGGTTTAGGTACCAGGGTAATGATGGCCTTATGAAACAAGTTAGTTGTCTCTTTTTTATTTTCTGGAAAATATTGAGGATAAAGTTTTTTTCTTTTTTGAGATGGAGTTTCACTGTGTCACCAGGCTGGAGTGCAGTGGCACGATTTTGGCCTACTGCAACCTCCATCTCCTGGGTCCAAGCGATTCTCCTGCCTCGGCCTTCCAAGTAGCTGGGACAACAGGTGTGTGCCACCACGCCCAGCTAATTTTTTAATTTTTATTTTTAGTAAAGATGGGGTTTCACCATGTTGACCATGATGGTCTTGATCTCCTGACTGCATGATCTGCCTGCTTCAGCCTCCCAAAGTGCTTGGATTACAGGCGTGAGCCACTGTGCCTTGCTGAGGATAACATTTTTTTACTTAAATGTTTCATAGTGAAATTACCTGAGCCTGGAGATTTCTTTGTTGAAAGACATTTAACTATTAATGCAGTTTCTATAATAATTATAGGACCATCCAGGTTATCTACTTCATATAGGGTAAATTTTGATGTTGTTTTTGAAGAATTATGTAAGTTGTCAAAATTACATGTGTAACATTGTTAATAGAATTCCTTATTTATTATTTTAATATCTGTTGGGTCTATAATAACTTCTTTTCAATACTGATAATGTTGGCTTCTCTCCTTATTTTTAGTCTTGCTAGAGGTTTATCAAGTTTATTGATATTTTCAAGGAAAGTTTTCAGTTTTTATTGTTTAAAAAATTGTTTTACTGTTTTCAAAATTCATTTATATTTATACTTATATATATTTACATATATTTCTTCTCTTTATTTGCTTCCTTTGCTTTGAATTCATTTGTCCTCCTTTTATAATCAAAACTTATTGATTTGAGATTTTTTCTCACCTAATCATTTAATGCTATAAATTTCCTTTACTGCACTAGCTGTGTACTATAAATTTTATTATTATGTGGTATTTTTATTTTAATGCAGTTAAAACTTTTTCTAGTTTCTTTTGAAACTTCATTTGGTCCATCTAGTTTATCAAGTTATTAGTGTAATCAGTACATGGCCAATATATCAGCATTTTGAGGAAATTAATCAAAAATTTAATCCTAGGGCAAAACATTTTTTTCTCTGAATTGAGAGAAAATAAAGCTACCATTAGTATAGCTGCATAGTATTTCTTAATATTTCTAAATAATTCTTTTTAAGCAGCATTTTATTCTACTGTATTGGCATTTCTTACCTTTGGGCCTATTTAATATGAATAAAAGAAAACGTCTCTTTAAGGCCACAGGAAGCTGTTACGAAAAGAGGGAGTTTGCCTTATGTGTCTGTGAAGTATTGTACTTGAAAATTTAAAATAATTGACCATATATCATGGTTTGTAATAAATCACTGAGTCATCTACAGTAATTCTGTTACATTATTTTCAGTGAGCTAAATGAATAAAATGACTTGTATTATTGAAAGGGTGTGATTTAGGCACTGGGGATAATAGAAGCCAACAAATTATATTAAAGACCTGCTTATTCGGTTTTATCTAGCAAAGGCATATCTTCCACAAAGGAACTAAATTTCATTTTCATGGATCTGCATATAGATATCATTTTGAAATTTTTACAGTTTTTAAAGGAGCCCATTTAATATTTCATTTCTTAAAATCTTATACAAATCACACTCCAAATATATATTTGATTGTCTATGCAGTAGAATTGTAATAGTAATCCAAATATTGAAGAATTATTCCCCATCCTTAAGCAGAAAATTAATGGTTATTGAAACGAAAGCTTCAGTAATGAAAATGTGACAATTTTGAGCATGTAATACACATTTCTCATGGCTTTGTTAAACATAGAAAGTCACGAAATAGTCACTTAGTAAAGAAGACAGTTAATAGATAAAAAGAACATCATGACCTTTAGTCATATATTGAAGCAGTTCAGTATTTATTGCTCACTCTACTTTGTGCTAAATTATTATTTCAGTATATTACTCTTCATTTTGTGAATGTAAAAGTATCTAGGGCATGCTCAACAAGTTAATAATTCTAATTTGTTTCTATCTTCTAGGAAGTGATCTTCTAGTAGAATAATAAGATATAAATGTGCAGTCAAGTCAAACAAATATAACTAAGTATCTTAATTATTTATTTCTGCTAACATACAGGTAAACGAGTAGATGTGGAACACATAACATATGATTGATAATGTCTTTACCTGAAGTAATTATATAGATCTGAATTTTCTGATGCTTAGCACAGTACTTTGTACGTAATAGATGCTCAAGTATTTTTAAATAGTCTTTTATTTTAGGATAGTTTTAGATTTATAGAAAATATGTGAAGGTAGTGCAGGGAGTTCCCAAATGCTCCACACGTAGTCTCCTGGTTTGTTAATATCTTACATTAGTGTGATACATTTGTCACAATTTATAACCAATATCAATACATTATGATTAATATTTATACTTTATTCAGATTTCTTTAGTTTTTACCTATTCTTCGTTGTTTCAGAAAATCGTCTAGGATACCACATAACAATTAGTTGTCATGTATCATTGTCATGTAAATTTCTTAGACTTTCTCTGCTTTTGATGACCTTGACAGTTTTGAGTACTGGTTAGGTATTTTGTAAAAAGGCCCTCAACTGAGATTTGCCTGATGCTTTCTCCATGATTAAACTGGGCTTATCAGTTGTGTCATGGGTTCCCAAAACTACTCCCATGTTTGATGATTCACTAAGAAGACTCAGAACTAAGCATCAAGTCATACTTCCAGCTATGTGTTGTTACAACAAAAGTATACAAACCAACATCAGCATAGGGAAGGCGTGCATGGGTGAAATCTGTAGGAAACCAGGCACAAGCTTCCAAGAGTTCTCACCCCATGTAGTTACACAGAGTGTGCTAAATTCCCCCAACAGTAAGTTCTGACAACAGGTGTGAA